TCTTCCGTTTCTTTGCGGAAGTAGGCACGGATGTTTCCTCCCCCTGGCTAGGGGATTTCTGCCTCGCGGTAGTACCGCATGGAGGCGCGGTAGTACCGCGCTCGCGGAAGTACCGCCCTCAGCTCCCGTGCGTCAGATCTGACCTTGCTGTTGCTGGGGTTGCGGCAGTACCGCGGGCCTGTACGGTAGTACCGCATGGCCGTGCGGTAGTACCACTTGGTAGCAAGCGGTAGTACCGTGTGGCCCTGCGGTAGTACCGCTGGCTTGGTGCGGTAGTATCGCTGGCCGCGGGCCAGTAGGTGGATAACGGTTGGATCTTTGTCCTACACTATATAAGGGGTCCCCTTCTTCCCCGTTGACTCATCTCTTCCAACCCTAAGCTCCATTATTGCTCTAAGCTCCATTTTTGCCCGATCTCACTCCCTAGCCAATCAAACTTGTTGATTTGTTCGGGAGTGGTTGAGAAGGCCTCGATCCACACTTTCACCAAGAGAAATTTGTTTCCCCCAACTAATCCCTTGCGGATCTTGTTACTCTTGGGTGTTTGAACATCCTAGACGGTTGAGGTCACCGCGAAGCCATAGTCCATTGTGGTGAAGCTTCGTGGTGTCATTGGGAGCCTCCAATTGAGTTGTGGAGATTGCCCCAACCTTGTTTGTAAAGGTTTGGTCGCCGCCTCCAAGGGCACCAATAGTGGAATCACGGCATCTCGCATTGTGTGAGGGCGTGAGGAGAATACGGTGGCCTTAGTGGCTTCTTGGGGAGCATTGTGCCTCCACACCGCTCCAACGGAGACGTACTTCCTTTCAAAGGGAAGGAACTTCGGCAACACATCCTCGTCTCCACCGTCTCCACTCTTGGTTATCTCGTGCCTTTACTTGTGCAAGCTTATTTGTATCATATCTCTTGCTTGCTTGTGTTCCTATCCTTGTTGCATCATATAGGTTGCTCACCTAGTTGCATATCTAGACAACCTACTTTGATGCAAAGTTTAAATTGTTAAAGAAAAGCTAAAAATTGTCAGTTGCCTATTCACCGCCCCCTCTAGTCAACCATATCTATCCTTTCACCAACGCAGCTAGAGGCTTTCTAGGCATGCTTGGCAGCATAGATTGTATGCACTGGGAGTGGAAGAACTGTCCATTTGCTTGGCAGGGCCAGTACAAGGGGCATGTCAACGGGTGCACTGTCATATTAGAAGCAGTGGCATCGCAGGATCTTTGGATATGGCATTCTTTCTTCGGCATGGCAGGTTCTCACAGTGATATCAACGTGCTGCAGCGTTCTCCAGTCTTCGCGAGGCTTGCAGAAGGCCACTCCCCACCTGTCAACTTTGAGATCAACGGCCACCAGTACAACAAGGGATACTATCTCGCAGATGGTATATATCCTCAGTGGTCAACTTTTGTGAAGACAATCTCGAAACCCCGAGGTGAGAAGAGAAAGAGATTTGCCTAAATGCAAGAGAGTGTTAGAAAGGATGTGGAACGTGCTTTTGGTGTGCTTCAATCCCGGTGGGGTATCGTTCGAAATCCTGCACTGTCATGGGATGAAAGGAAGCTTTGGGAGGTGATGACTGCTTGTGTGATCATGCACAACATGATCGTCGAGGACGAGCGTGATGAGAGTATCTTCGACCAAGGATTTGATTATGAAGGTGAAAATATTGAGCTCCTGCACCAAGACCCGGCCACATTTGAACAGTTTGTCCAATTCCACTATGAGATGCGTGATTGCCACACTCATTTGAATCTTCAAAATGACTTGGTTGAGCACATGTGAGATCACATTGGCAACCAATGGATGTATTGGTCCATTTTATGTTCAGTCAAGACAATTTCGATTTGGTTGTAAAACTATTTTATTAAAGACAATCTCAATTGGGTTGTAAAACTATTTTAATTTTCAGACAAATATTTGGGTTGTAAAACTAGTTTTGATGAAAATATGGGCATTTTTGGCCCTGACGGACAAGATGGGGCAAAGGGATGCGGCCGCGCGCTGGGCGCACGGCCACCGCATCCCAGGAAACGCCCGGACACGACCTCATTGCCCTATCCAAACAGACAGAAACCGGACAAAACGGACGTCCGTTTGGGGTTGCGCGGTGGAGTTGGCCAAGGGGAATTGTTGTTCTTGTTACAGTACAATTTGGTGACAAAACATTGCAGTTTGGTTCCTGCTGTATTGGCAGATTGTGCTATTACGCTCAAGCCAATTATAAGTTCTAGCATTCCCATAGTACTTTGGATGATAATGCTAAGAATCATCTCTGATGTGTGTGTTCTTTCTTTAATACATGATACACATGCTTGTGCGTATTCGAGACAAAAAAGTCTTTGATGTGTTTGTCTCCCTAGATGTTTGCTGAACTTACTGACTAATGGAAATTGTTGTCCTCGCCACAGTGCGATTTTAGGACAAACAATTACACTTTGGTTCCTGCTGGTTTGACAGACTCTGCTATTGCGCTCAAGCCAATTACAAATACTAGCTACCAATATGGATGATACCCCAAGAGTCCACTTAGTTTGGGCTGCAGTTGAAGTACTTCCGAGTTCCGACTAGCTTGGATCCGATGGAGGTCATCAGTTCATGACTAGCCAAGCTTAGCTGCTGTTGATAATCTATCTGATTCAAATGTCCGAACACTACATACGTACAAACTTGGTCTAGCAGGTTAACACAAGATACAGCTAGAGGACTCACTCTAATTGTCCTTATCCATCTGTGAGGAAGGCGTTGGTACCCAGGCTATTAATTTGTACTAATAATATAACTCTATACGGCCTTGTGGCAACCCAGTGCATAAAGATTTATTCGTCAGGCTTAGGGCTGCTGAGATTCATTTGTCTATCCTATTGTGTATGAATGCATCTTTATGACCTCTAACCTAAATAGGTAAAAAAAAAAGGGTGTGGCTATGAGCATATGACTGCAAGCTTATCATTAATAATGACGCAACTGATCTCATGACATTGGAGTCTTTGGTCATCGGACCTTGACAAAAATGGCCCATTATTCTATTTGTCTTCACACTATTGATATGTGGCTTACATCAGTAAATAGATGAAGCAGTATAATTCTAATAAGAAGGGAACTCCATTGTCATGTATATCTACTCTCACAAGCCAGGTTGGAACAAAAGGTGTTGTTGCTGCTCCAAGTTGCTATTGTATGTTCATTCACTGCACATAGGCCTTGTTATGTGAAGCGAACAATTACAACTTCCTTCTCCGGTGATTTATAATTCTTGCATACAATATTTCTTCAAGGTTCTGAACCGACCAACTGCCTTTTTTCGTGCAGAGTTTCTATGGAGCCTGAAAACCTCTCTTGGTATTCTGCATCTGTACATTGATCAGCCATCGTTACTCGGTATGAAGCACGCATTATATACTTCTGCGGACGTTGTATTTTTCTTGCTTTGGGAATGTGAAATAAATAGAATGCTTGTGGGTGAATGTTATACTGATTATTTTGCTTTTGCTGCAGTGAGGTTCTCATTAAAAAATTGACATATGACGTGCTTGGATGCATTTTGTTTTTTTTTCCATATTTGCGTATTGGAACCATAAGAGCATGTATGGGTAGGAGGATATGATTCAAATCCAGGTTTAGCTTAAACAACCTACCTCATCCAAATACTCCTAAGGTGAAATTTTATAATCTCAAATCAGCAAGCACATGATTCCTCTAGTAAAGATGAGACGGTTCCTCTGTTATGGCCATTCTAATCGTCTGTCTCGGGCTCAGGCACACAGCCATTTCGTCAAGACTCAGCAAGTCTTATGCGTCGTCTTTGTTTGACTGATTCATCCATGCGAGGAACTTGCCGAGTAAGGAGTGACCAGATTGAGCTCGACGTGGCCACTGTCAGCATGTAACCAGGGCCCTCACCAACATAACTACTAGATGAAGGGCGCGTAGATGTGGGCCTCGTCGGCACCAAACCAGGAGCAAGAAGATGGGCACAATTGGGAAGATGGAGCCAAGGTTCCAAATTCATCAGATCTAAGCTGAAGGGGAACTCTCATAGTGCAATGAGGACTTCAGCTACGTTGAACTGTTTTCCCAATGCCGCTCATCCCAAAATATTGTCATATTCTGGAGTTTCTTTTTCGCTCAAAGATATTGTTGGTGTATAAATAATGTAATTAGAGGACTCCGTAGGGTCTAAAATGTAAAATGTACAAACAAAATATAACTCAGAATAGAGAGACTGGATCGGTGAGGAACGATCCAGAATTCCCCCAAATCCTCTTCGTGCCATCTCCAATCTCTAGCCCAAATCTTACAAATCCCACATGATTTTCATCATGACATCAGGGCAGGTTAATCTGATGTGATTTTGATCTTGGTGGCGGCTGATTGAGGCGCTGTGTCGCCGTGATTTCTGGCTGTGGGTGTTGATTGCTGCGCACCCATCTCCGTCGTACGCCGGCGGCCGCCGTTCCCTCAAAGCTGCGGAAGGAGCGCCGCGACCGGCGTACTGTTGCCTGCCGCATCGCCGACCACCATCTGGTGCGGCTGCGCTGGATGCTGGATGCTTGGTCTGGTCCATCAGGAAATTACTTGGTGATGCTGCGTCGTCCATGTCCAAGCAGTAAGCTAGCTTGCTAGGTGTCCGATTGATTGCAAGGCTAACTGATTGATAGTGGTGCGTGCATCTGGTGCTTCTTCTGGTCTAGTCCCATGAGATTTGGTCAGGCGTGCATACAAGTACAGTTCACTTTTCTTTGTCACTGTATTTGGTCATATGTGTGAGAAGAAAATAGTGTGTGCGCCTTTCTCTGAACAATTGTGATTAATGCCGCCGGAAAGCTTGTATTGCTCTATGGCCGGATTAAAATACTCTGCTCATGCCTGTGTGCATTTGAGAGCAACTCGTAGAAGTACATCTACTTGCCATCAACATTTTGTACTAGTGTATTGTTGCTAGCGGAGTGCTGCAAAATCAAGTCCTGTGTGACTAGCTCCTGTTTGGGTTGTAGTGAGTCATGACAGATCCAACCAAGGAGAAATCAGGGGATTCTAGTGTGGATAAGTTGTATGAGATTTTAAGCAAAGTATTTGAGCAGCAACAGCAACAACTCAAAGTGGTTTCTGAAGCAATCAAGTATGCACTTGAGCCTAATCTAGTAAAGTTGGCTGGACCGAGCAATTACATCAGCTGGGCGCGTCATGCCCAGTTAATTCTGAGTTCTCATGGCTACGAAGAATTGCTTAGTGCTGATGAAGAGAAACTGAAAAGTGGCACTAGCACAAAACAGATTAATGATAGAGTGTTGGTTTGGTTATTAGGAAGCATGGAACCACCTATTCGAGAACAAGTTGAGACTATGACTACTATATTTGAAGTGTGGAAAGCTTTGGAGAAGCAATTTTCAGGAAAGTCAAATAAGATGCAAGCTACTCGCATCATGCATGAGTTGACTAACTTGAAACAAGGCTCGAAATCAGTGACTGAGTATGCAGGTGAGATGAAGAGATTGTACAGGGAGTTGCATTATTACCACCCTTTTGAGCCTGTTGACAAGAATGACATGGTTGTTCACTATACCTGGTTTGAACCGTTTGTGGGCAAGCTCTTCCTCGATGGCCTAAATCAGGAGTTTGATCTCCGTTGTCAGCTTATATTCTCCAAGACTGAATGGCTAAGCCTTGACGATATCATTTCCAGTGTGATTGAGGAGGAGACTCGTCTTGCTCAACCCAAGGAGCATGGTCAAGAAAAATCAGATGCACGTGCAGCCCTATCCATACAAGCTCGTCGTGCTCCTAAGTCCTTTGGTAAAATAGATAAAAGCAAACTTTTTTTCAACCATTGCAAAAGGCCTAGACACACAAAGGATGCATGCTTTGAGCTGCATGGCTATCCAACTTGGTGGGAAAATGGAAAGTCTCAGCCAGGGGGAGGTCAGGGAGCTCATAAAAGACAAGCTAACCTCACTACATCCAAGGGAGGGGGGGGGGGGTATCGGTGGTAGATGTGCGAGCTCTTGAGGATTTCACCTCCAAGCTTAGACTTTCAGAAGACTTGTCTTCCTCCCAGGATTCCTCTAAAGTTGAATCTAGTTTCCGTGCTACTTCACACAAAGGTATGACACCTCACCAGGCCCACAATTTTACAACACAATCAAAATCTTGGATTATTAATACAGGAGCTACAAACCACATGACATGAGCTTCAAATATATTCACTTCCTATACACCTTGTTCAGGTAAGGAAAAGGTACGTGTAGCTGATGGATCCATGGCACCTATCACAGGACGTGGATCTGTTAGGTGCACCAAGACATTGTCCTTGTCTCCTGTCTTGCATGTTCCGAATTTTCCAGTCAACCTCTTGTCAGTTAGCTCTATTACTAAATCTCTCAATTGTAGAGGTTGGTTTGATCCTACTTGTTGTGCTTTTCAGGAGCTAGGGACAGGGAGACTATTGGGGACTGGGGCCGTGCATGATGGACTCTACTATCTTGATGAAGGAAGTGATGAAGTTGCTTTTGCGTTATGCTTGTCTCCTAGTCAAGAACTACTACTATACCATCGTAGGCTTGGGCATCTCTCTTTTGCTGCACTGTTTCGTATTTACCCCTCTCTTTTCAAATTGTGTCCTAGGGAGATCCTTGTATGTGATGCTTGTGAATTGGCTAAACATACAAGGGCTTCATATCCTAGTATAGGATTAAGAAGTGGCAAACCATTTGAAATGATTCACTCAGATGTTTGGGGACCCTGTGAGGTTCGTTCAATTTCTGGGCATCGATGGTTTGTAACTTTTATCGATTGCTTTAGTCGCTACACTTGGCTTTATCTCCTGAAGCATAAGAGTGATGTGTGCTCGGTTTTTAAAGATTTATGTGCTCTTATTAAAAATCAACATGGGGCAACTATTAAAATCTTATGGTCAGACAATGGTACGGAATATATTAACCAGGAGTTTGGACAGTTCCTTGCCTCAAACGACATTGAACATCAAACTACATGTGTTAACACTCCAGAACAAAATGGTGTTGCAGAGCGTAAAAATAGACATTTGCTTGAGGTTGCACGCTCACTTATGTTTACCATGAACGTGCCTAAATTTCTTTGGGGGGGGGGAGGCAATAAAAACTGCAACATACTTGATAAACCGTATGCCTCTTCGGGTTCTTGGCCATAAGACCCCTGCTGAGTGTCTTCTTAAATCTAATGATTTTGTAGTTCCTCCAAAGGTCTATGGGTGTGTTTGCTTTGTGCATGATTATAGGAACTATGTTGGAAAATTAGATCCATGTGCTCTCAAATGTGTTTTCATGGGTTATTCTCCTTGTCAAAAGGGTTACCGGTGTTGGTGTCCTTCAGAGCGCCGGTTTTTTTGTGAGCATGGATGTGACATTCCGTGAACATGAATCATATTATGGCTCAACCAATGACACTGGCATTGCCTTATCCCCATCTAAAGTGCAGCAGGAAGGGGAGAGTGGTACTAAAGGATCTCCATTAATCCCTATTCATGTTTCCACTTCAGATGGTTTATCCACTCTAGATGATGTTCGAAATCAGGGGGACGAGACAAATAGTGATGGGTGTAATAATGGTTCTGATCATGGAGACATACAAGATGCATCAGGGGACTCTTCACTTCCTTCACAAGATGGTGAGCTTGACATGCATGAGGACCCAGGTACTAACAATAACCTCTCTAGTCATGTTGCTCCTATTAGCACCATCAGGCAGAGTGATAATCAATTATCTATCCTTGCTCCTGAAAATGATCTACCTATTGCTATGAGGAAACCTACAAGAAATCGAAACATTCCTGGACACCTCAAAGATTATAAACATGATATAGCTAATTTCATTTCCTATGAATATTGCACTCCACCCTTCAAAAGCTTTATTGCCTCTTTAGACTCTGTTTCCATACCATCAAACTAGAAAATAGCTATAGAGGACCCAAACTGGAAGGGAGCAATGCTTGATGAGATGAAAGCCTTGGAGAAGAATGAGACTTGGGAGCTTGTGGATCTACCACCAGGTAAGCAACCAGTAGGATGTAAGTGGGTATTCACTATTAAACGAACCCCTGAGGGAAAGGTGGATATATATAAAGCCCGGCTCGTGGCAAAAGGCTACACACAAACATATGGAATCGATTATGAAGAGACCTTTGCACCTGTGGCAAAGATGAATTCAGTAAGGACACTTATATCATGTGTTGCAAACCTTGATTGGGATATTTACCAGATGGATGTGAAGAATGCTTTCCTTCATGGTCATCTCCAAGAAGAAGTATACATGCATATACCGCCTGGATTTGAGTCAAGTAAAACTGTTGGAAAGGTATTGCGCCTACATCGTTCTTTATATGGCTTAAAGCAATCACCACGTGCTTGGTTTGATCGGTTTAGACAGGCCATGCTAAAAAGGGGGTTATTTTCAAAGTAATGCTGACCATACGCTATTTTATAAGCATATTAATGGCAAGGTTGCAATCTTGATAGTGTATGTCGATGACATTGTGATTACTGGAGATGATTCCAAGGAAGTTGCAGAGCTGAAGTATCATCTTGCGCATGAGTTTGAAGTGAAGGACTTGGGACAATTAAGATATTTTCTTGGTATAGAGGTCTCACGAGGATCGAAGGGTATTTTTCTCTCACAGCGAAAATATATCTTGGATCTGCTCAAGGAAACTGGTATGCTTGGTTGTCGACCTGCTGCTACACCTATTGAGCAAAATCATCGGTTATGTAGTGATGCTGGGACACCAGTGGATCGAGAGCGCTACGAGAGACTAGTTGTAAAGTTAATATATTTATCTCATACCCGTCCAGATATTGCCTTTGCTGTGAGTGTAGTTAGCCAATACATGCATGACCCAAAATCAACTCATATGGAGGCTGTAAATAAGATCCTACGGTATCTTAAAGGGTGCCCAGGAAAAGGCCTCTTATATACCAAACAAGGGGACTTGCAAGTTGAGTGTTATACCGATGCTGATTGGGCTGGTTCCCTAGATGATAGGCGCTCAACATCTGGTTACTGTGCATTTGTTGGCGGAAACCTAGTTTCATGGCGAAGTAAAAAAGCAAAGTGTGGTGGCTCGGTCTACTGCAGAAGCTGAGTTTAGATCTATGGCTCATGACATATGTGAGTTATTATGGTTGCAGATCCTCCTATCAGAGCTGCGGTTGTACAAGTACAAACCTCTGATGTTGTACTCTAACAACAAAGCTGCCATTGATATTGCAAATAACCCTGTTCAGCATGACCGAACCAAGCACATAGAGATTGATCGTCATTTCATCCAGTCAAGTAGCTCGATAGAGGGATAATTTGCCTACCATATGTAACTTCAGCCAGTCAAGTAGCAGATATACTTACAAAAGGACTCCCGGAAAAAACTTTTCCCATGTTTTGTACCAAGATGGGTATGTACGACATATTCTCCTCATCTTGACGGGGAGTGTTGGTGTATAAATAATGTAATTAGAGGACTCCATAGGGTCTAAAATGTAAAGTGTACAAACAAAATATAACTCGGAACAGAGAGACTGGATCGGTGAGGAACGATCCAGAATTCCCCTAAATCCTCTTCGTGCCATCTCCAATCTCAAGCCCAAATCTTACAAATCCCACATGATTTTCATCAGATATGATACTTGGGTGAGGGTGGATGCAAAATCCTACACAATACAAGAAAATAATATGTTGCATAGTTTGCTAGCTTTCCTACACGGGTCACTCATTGCATGACACCCTTTGTCGGGTATATATAGAGAGAAAGAATGCATGATAGGCAAGTAGGTATGGCTTTACTCATTGGATGGAAATTATCGGCAGTAGATATTTATTTGTCATAGTAGTAGATTGGGTGGATAAATAGATTTACAGATACTATATAAAGTGAGTTGGACAATACGAAATGCTACAATCTCATGAAAAGTTAAGATGCACCACGGTTACTTTAAAGGGTAAAAAGTGCAATATATAATGATGATAAAAATGAAGGATGTCTAGCACCTCGCAGCCAGCGCTATATTTGCCCACTAAACAATCACATCTTACACTTGACTCCGCCTATCTGAACACAAGTCCTCTCAACAATGTCATTTACTCTAGTGCAAAAGATAGAGTATGCTGGAAGAGGAAGCCATACATAGTCTGAAAGAAAACATAGCTTCAAGTTCAGATTACAAGAGGTACGTCTAGGAGGCCGGGCGGTCGATAGAAGGAGGGTCGACCCGAATGAAGGCGACTGGGTGGGCGACCGCGACGGCGCCGTCCGCCGCCGGTGATCGCCGACGCGTCGGTGGGCGGTTTTGGGCTCTCGCCGAGTCCGACGAAGAAGACGCTGACGACGATGGGGATGCATCCCCGGCAGAGGCGCCGCCCTCACCGACACCTTCAGATCTTGTTTGCGATTTATTCCATGCAGGTTATTGCGAAGATGAAGTAGCCATGACGATCGATCAGATTCTGCCACCGGACGATCCGGCGCGTATCGGTCTTCACGCGGGCGAGAAGAATGAGATGGTCCGACGCGTAGTTCATCGGAAGACGGCGGCGTCGGTGCTCAGACCGTGGAAGGGACCGATACCTAAGGTGAGTCTTCCGAATCTCACGTTATTCGATATGATCAGGCCGGAGTCTTGGATCACTGTTAAGAATAAGAAGAACGCGAGGCGGCGCGCCGGCAGTCCGGCAACGGCGGCGCCCGTGACGGCAGCGGCGATGACTACGATCTCGCTCGCGAGATCACAGCGATTGACTCAGCTGCTAGATGGATTTGGGCCGGTTCGGTGTGGACCGGGTCCGCGAGATGTTGGGCCAGAGAAAGATGGGTATGAGGCTCATGTTGGACCGGACCACTCTCCTACACCTATTGCGTTGCCATGCACGTACGAGCGTGATTGTTCTCTCAATCGTGCGCAGCCGCCTCTTCGCCCTAGGGTTCGTAGGCACGGCACGAGAGGTTTTCCTGCCTGTGGTCTGCATTGGG